TTTTTTTTTGCAGTTTTGGCTGGGGCTGGGTTTGAACCCGCCACCTCCAGCATATGGGGCCAGCGCCCTACTCCTTTGAGCCACAGGTGCCGCCCTGAAGAAAATTTTTTGAATAAATGTAGTAGCCTAAGTGTATAGTATTTACAAAGTCTATAGGAGTGTACCATAACGCCCTAGGTAGGACTTCACATTCACTTATCACTCACTGACTCACCTAGAATGGCTTCCAGTCCTGTAAGCTCCATTCATGGTAAGTGCCCTAGGCAAGGGCACCATTTATCTTTTCTAATGCATTTATGCCATACTGTTGTATTTTTAGATATGTTCACATACACAAATTCTTACCATTGTGTTACAACTGCCTGCGATATTCAGTTCAGAAACATGTACAGAGTCTACGCGCAATAGGATATACCATGCAGTATAGGTGTGTAGTAGGTTATCCCATCTAGGTCTGCACTCTACAGGGTTACTCTACACAACAAAACTGCCTAACGACTTATTTCTCAGAACATACCCTGTGGTTAATCGACACATGGCTATACAGACAAGAACAATGACACTCTGAAAGATTAAGATGTCCAAGGTCACAGGGTTAGTGTAAGAGCACCAGTATTTGAGTCCTGGTCAGTGTTTCTTCAGAGCTCACACAAATCGTTCCAATTTCAAGCAGCAGAGAAACACCATAGCAGTCTTGTATAGAATAGCGTTTATCAACCCTGGAACCCCGATTCAACTATTTCCAAATAAAACAAAGGCAAAGGCCTAGGCTGTCATGTAAGCCAGAATCCCATCAAGGTCTCTGCCATTATCGGTGTCACTGGCAGCAGGTCTGACTTCTATGCTTCTCAGCAGACCTTCCCTAAAGTTTCAAGTCGAGCCCTTCGACCCCACCTTGCACCCTCCACCCCTCGTCACGCACATACCTGTTTGAGATCCTCGCCACAAGTCTCAAGAGCTTTCTTGCAATTTAAAAAGGAGTAGCCCGTTTTCCGCCGCAACTTCGTAAGGAGTTCTTTGCTGGAGGCTGAAGAAGACAGCCAGGCCCCAGCGTGAAATGTGTGCCGTAGCTGGGGCCACTGAAGCACAAGGGACCTTGCCTGCAGGGAATAAGAAAGGATAAGAAATAGAAAGCAGCTAGCCCCGAGGCGTGGAGAGCACAGCTGCAGGGAGGCGACCTTAGGGCTCTGGAAATGTGGGCCAGGGGAGGGGGCTGAGGGGGCTGGACTGCAAAGAGACAAAAGCCGTGAGGGGTGGGATCGAACGGGGCCAGGGGAAGAGAAGGGGACACGCCAGCGCACGGGAGTTCTGCAAGGAAGAACTTGCAGTAACCGGGGCCCGGACACCTCACCGGGAGACTCCTGGTATTCGGGACCACCCAGAGGTGCACTGACCGCAGCAACAACATCTCGCGGGCCACAGAACACTTCCGCCGCCCGGCGAGCCGGTGAGACGCCGACCTACGGCGGGGCGGAAGGGCCAGAACTCTCCACCTGGACACGCCAGCCGATGTCAGCGCCACCTGCTGGTCGGAGGGGCGGAGGGCTTGAGACTAGACATTTCACATGGGAATCACCCCCCCAAAGGTAAAACGACGAAGAAATAAAGTCGTTACAAAACAAGAGTTGTGTGATACACTTTGCGTTTCTTTATTTTCATTGAGCTTTAGTATTCATTATCCATTTAAGATTCATGACAAATTTCTGAGGTGGCTGGAGGGTCCAGGAATTTGTCCAATATCAAATTGGACAGGAAAGTAGGGGTGAAGTCCTTTCAACAAACGAACAAATATTGTTCAGTGAGCAAAATATTCGCTGAACACCTACTGTGTGCCAGGAACTGTGTCAGGCTTAAGGAGATTAGAGATAAGTAAACACAGCCCTACTCTCCAAAGTAATCTAATAGTGAGAAAATAAGGGTAGACAAATGTCTCTGTAAGGCAAAGTAAGTTCCCAAAAATGAACGGTGAGAAGGCCTCAGGGAGAAAGAAATCGTATCTAAGCAAGAGCCTTAGAAAAAGCTTTTTTCAGGAAAGAGGTAAAGAATAATGAAGATCTTGACAGATAGCAACAGCCCTTCCAAGTAGGGAATCATCATAAAGAATGAAGGAAGAAATCAGGAAATTTTAGTGTGGATGTAGAGAACAAAGAATAGGCCTTTGGTTGTTTGGCCAGAAGTCCAATTCATATAGGAAAAGAGTAAGATACAAAGTAGAAAGGTAATTTGGGATCCTGTGCGGTAGCCTAAGTACCTAGTAGAGGAACTTGTTTTCTTCCCTAGGCCGTAAAAGCTATTCAGATTTCAGAAGCTCAGGAGAGTTTGCAGAATGGCTTGGGAGAGAATGGCTGCAGAGAGTCCAGAGAGTCCATGTGCCTAAGCAGTGAGTGGAGAGCCCCAACCAGAGGTGCCACGGTGGGAAGAAAAAAGGGAAAGTAAAACACATTAGGATAGAAAGACTGATCAAGTGTGGAAGTCTAAAGGAAAGTCACAGATGAAAAGAATCTACTACTCAGTCCAATGTTCTGCATAGCATGATGTTCTGTAATCAGGCACCAACTCCCAAAAGGATGAAGAAGCTACAGCCCGAAGGACAGACCTGCTTCCTTCTCAGCTGCAGGGCTGGGAGGACTCGGCCCAGTTAGAACCGTGGTCCTACCACACCAGACTATCTCTGAAAGCAAGAAGCAGATGGTCCTTGCTTTCCAAGTTCAAACTGAGTTCTTTGGATGCAGAAGAGATTTTAATGCTTATTTCTTTCCCTTTAGAAAAATTCTGCAGAATTTGGTTTTTAAAAAGTCTGCTCTGTATAACAGACAGCAATAGGACTACAAGGGAGTCAGTGAGAGCCTCTCTGCTGCCACTGCTCTCACAACCCATTTACCTCCCTTACCTCTAAAAATCTTGAATACTCTCCTATCCTCCTCTAAGAAGAGGAGCTGGGAAATTCCTTGGTGTTCTAACTCCAGGGCTGCCAGTGATCTAGGATTCCTACTAAGTAGGCATCTCCTTGTACCAGCCCAAGAGTATCTAGAAGAACAAAGAGGAAAGGAGGAAAACAGAGGCCAGGGAGATCTGTCCTTTTTGGTCCTTGTGTTTGTGGCTGTGGAGATACAGTTTTGGAGTTAGGCAGTTCCTTCTTTAGGACAAAGGGTTGAGAAGAACAGGGGGGTAATGTCAAGCAGGTCTTGGTTCCCTGTGCCTGGCCCTATAAATGTTGACATTCTCATCCTCATCCCGCTGGACCAACTCCAGTTGGAAATGCTGGGGCAGGAAATGCTGAAAGAAGCTCTCTGTCCCATGCTCCTCTCTCATCTTGGAGGCCAGATAGATGGTGCCATGGGGCCCGCACAGATGTTGGAGGGTTCCCAGCAGCAGTGGGAAGGTGGGTTCCAGGTACACGATATCAGCCCCCAGTACCAGGTCATAGTCTCCAGGGAAGACATGCTGGTCAATTCCCCAGGACAAGGCACGGACCTGGGCCTGGCCTCCAGCTGGCACATTGGACTGGACGTTGCCCTGGATCTGTTCTAGGGCCAGAGGCAGGTCAGTGATGGTAACATCCCCCCCTGAGAGAGAGGAACGAGGAGAAATGCAAGTCAGAGGGACCTTCTCTGCCTGGAAGGTCCAGGGACCTCAGGTCTTAAAGAACAATGTCTTGTCAAAGCCCACATGGGTTTTTAGTTGTCCTAACAACCTTTTTGCTCATTTTCATTCTCATTACTCTACCTCGGTGATTTCCAACCAGTGTGCCACAGCACACTGGTGTGCCATGAGAGGATCTTAGGCAAGCTGGGAAATTGTTTCAAGATCTTTAATTAAATTATTTATTTATTTACTTTTTTGAGACAGGAGCCTCAAGCTGTCCCCCTGGGTAGAGTGCCGTGGCATCTCAGCTCACAGCAACCTCCCACTCCTGGGCTCAAGCGAGTCTCCTGCCTCAGCCTCCCAAGTAGCTGGGACCACAGGCGCCCGCCACAATGCCTGGCTATTTTTTTTTGGTTGCAGCCATCATTGTTGTTTGGTGACCCGGGCTGGATTCGAACCCGCCACCTTGGGTGTATGTGGCTGGCGCCTTAGCCACTTGAGCCACAGGCGCCGAGCCATAATTAAATTATTCTTGAAAGAAGTTCAAAGCACAGTAAGTATATTCTTCTTTTTTTTTTACTCTTTTCTCTCTCTCTCTTTTTTTGAGATAGTGTTGCACTATGTTGCCCTTGGTAGAGTGCCATGGTGTCACAGCTCACAGCAACCTCAAACTCTTGGGTTTAAGCGATTCTCTTGCCTCAGCCTCCCAAGTAGCTGGGACTACAGGCGCCCCCCACAACACCTAGCTATTTTTTGTTGCAGTTGTCATTGTTGTTTAGCTGGCCTAGGCCGGGTTTGAACCCTCCACCCTTCGTGTATGTGGCTGGCACCATAACCACTGTGCTATGGGCGCCAAGTCTCTAATTTTTTTTTTTTTTTACTTTTTTGACCAACATAAATTTAAGTGTGTCATGGAAGTTAAACTACAGGTTCAAGTGTACTGTAAGATAAAAAAAAAAAAAAAAAAAGTTGAAAAACACTGCTCTACATTCTACAACGTCAACATTCTCTCTGAGCTAATCTTCAATCTCTGCCCAACGCACAACAATCAGATGTCAGCAGAAGCCTGGGCAGGACTCAGCTGGAGATGGGCCATGCACCCACCCCCATTGCCATGAGCCCTCCTTAGGGGTCTGGAAAGCTTCCCAGAAGGTGTGACCTTAGCTGAGCCCTAAAGGACAAGTGGGAGTTAGGTAGAGCTTGCCAAGAGAACAGCTAGTACAAAGGCCTATCAGTGAGAAAGCATAGTATGGTCAAGGAAGGCTGGGTCTTAGAGGTTGCAAAAGAGGCAGAAAAGTGTCAAGACATGGAAGGAAAGTGATTATGACATGCTAAGGAGACTCGGGTTTGATATCAAGGGCAGTAAGTTTTAAGGGCAGAAATAAGGGTGATCAGATTAGCATCTCAGAAAGCTTCATTCATGCAATAAACACATGTATTGAGCACCCACTAAATGCTGGAGCTATGGTAGTGAGCAAGACAAAACCTCAGTCTTCCTTGAGTTTCATTCTAGAGGTAGAGATATGTTACAAACTGGAAAAGTAACCATTTAATCATCATCAAGTTAACTGTTATAAAAAGAGCAGGAAGTTCTAAGAGTTCATTCATTCATCATTATTTATTTTGTGCCTTTATGCTGGCTGCTGAGAATACAGCAATAAACCAAGCAGAAAAGATTCCTCCCCACATGAAGCTTACAGTCCAGTGGTAAGGAACACAATGAACTAAAAAAATTGAAACAAAACAAACTGTATAACGGACACGAATAAGTGCTGTAGTGAATCACCAAGCCAGGGAGGAGGATAAGAATTATTTGAAGGATGGGGTATGGAATGTAATTTTAAATTGGGTGCTTGAGGAAAGCCTCACTGAGCTGATTACTTCTGAACAAAGACCTGAAGGAAGTAACAGAGCAAATCATGCGGCTCCCTCAGGCTAAAGTCTACCAGCAACAGACCAGCAAGTGCAAAGACTATGAGGCAGGAGTGTGCTTGACAGGTCTGAAGACTAGGAGGACGGCCAGAGCCTGGAGCAGAGGGAGTGGAGGCATAGGAGTAGGGGAGCATGGTCACAGCCTTGTAAGAAGGAAGGCTGTGAGGAATCTGGCTTTTAGTCTAAGTGATGTGGGAAGTTGGGGGAGGATTTTAAAGGGAAGAATGGCGTACACTGACTTATGCTTTTTTTTTTTTTCTCCTTTTTTGTTGACTCCAGGATTGATGGCATGCCTTACGCTTTAAGAGGAGCACTGGGGCTGCTGTGGAAAAGACTGCAGAAGGGCAACATCAGACACAAGAAGAATAGTTTGGACATGGCCACAATGACCCAAGTGAGAGAGGAGGAGGATGTGAACCAGGGAGTAGCAATGGCTAAGAAGTAGTCAGATGGTGAATATATTTTCAAGATAAAGTCAATAGTATTTGCCAATAGGATATGAAATACAGAATGAAAGAGAAGTTTAGGATGGTTCCAGAAGCTTGGTTGGTCAGCTAGAAGACCAAATTGCCATTCACTTAGATGAGGAAGGCTGCAGGAGAAGCAGGTTTGAGCAAGAAGATGACGCACCCATTTCTGGACACATGGAGATATCCATCAGATAGACATAGGAAGACACTGAATAGGTGGCGGGTTATGCAAACAGTTCTGGAGACAGAAATGAGAGAGTCATCGAGTCATAACTATAAAAAGGACATTTACAGTGGCTCACGCCGGTAATCCCAGCACCTTGGGAGCTGAGGCAGGCAGATCTCCTGAGGTCACGTGTTTTGAGACCAGCCTGAGCTAGAGTGAGACCCCACCTCTAAAAATAGCCAGTCGCCTGTAATCCCAGCTACTCGGGAGAAACCCAGGAGTCTAAGGTCGCTGTGAGCTGACACCTCAGCACTCTGCTGGGGTAACAAAGTGACACTTTGTCTCAAAAAAATAAATAAATATGGGTGGTGCCTGTGGCTCAGTGAGTGGGGCACCAGCCCCATATACCAAGGGTGGCGGTTCAAACCTGGCCCTGGCCAAACTACAACAAAAAATAGCTGAGTGTTGTGGCAGGCGCCTATGGTCCCAGCTACTCGGGAGGCTAAGGCAAGAGAATTGCCTAAGCCCCAGAGTTGCAGGTTGTTGTGAACTGTGATGCCACAGCACTCTACCGAGGGCAACAAAGTAAGACTCTGTCTCTAAAAAATAAATAAATAAAAATAAAAAAACAGCCAGGTGTAGTGACTTAAACCTGCAATCCTAGCACTGGAAGGCTCAGGTGGATTGCCTGAGCTCATGAGTTCAAAACCAGCTTGGGCAAGAGCAAGACCCCATCCTTAAAAATAGCCAGTCACTGTGGAGGGCACCTGTAGTCCCAGCTACTCAGGAGGCTGAGGCAAGAGAATCGCTTGAGCCCAAGAGTTTGAGGTTGCTGTGAGCTATGATGCCATGGCACTATACTCAAGGTGACAAAGTGAGACTCTGTCTAAAATTTTAAAAAATTAAATAAAAAAATTAAAAAAAATAAGAAAAATAAAAGGACATTTAAAGCCATAAATGATAGGATTGCTTACGAGTGAGTGTACATAGGAAAAGGCGGGAGGCCAGGCACGGTGGCTCATGTCTGTAATCCCGCACTCTGGAGACTGAGGTAGGAGGATCACTTGAGCTCAGGAGTTAAAGACCAGACTGAACAAGAGAGAGATCCGGTCTCAACTAAAAATAGAAAAATTAGCCAGGCATTGAGGCAGGTACCTGCAGTCCCAGCTACTCAGGAGGCTGAGACAGGAGGCCTAGGAGTGTGAGGTGGCTGTGCACTAGGCTGACACCAAGGCACTCTGGCCTGGGTGCCTGAGTGAGACTCTGTCTCAAAAAAAAGAGAAAGAAAAAAAAAGGGGGGTCAAAAGACTGCCCCTGAGGACTGAAGCACTCAAGTTTTCAGGAACCAACAAAAGAGAATGGAAAGGAGTGCGGGTGAGGCAGGCAGAAACCAGAAGTGTGGTGCCTTGGAAACAAAGGAAATATTCCGAGGAGGAGGTAGTGTCAGTGTCAAATGCAAAGTTGACAAAGGTGAGCGGATAACTGGCTCCTGGAGTTACATCTCTTTTTTTTTTTTTTTTTTTTTTTTT